ACCTGGAGAGGATTCTAGGAGAGATAATTACTTGGGTAATTACACTTTCCAGGCTGCATTTACTCACCTGATTCCATGAACTCTTGTTCACTGAAGTGGGGGATGTGCAGAATTTCTTTTAGGATGTTGGGACAGAGTTCACAGACTGGTGAAAATCTTGCCCATCATATCATAGGCTATAAATTAAAGATTCATTAATGAAATCAGCCCATAAAGCATGGTAAATACAGTACAGTATTACAATAACTTTTTTTAATATGGCTTCAATCATGTTTTTAATGGTTTTCGTAGATGAGCGCAACATTTGAAGAAAGAGTTGGGGGCCTTGGAAAAGCCATTGAGCACATTTAAAACCAAATTCTATGGTTTATTTTTATTTTGACATTTCCTGGTTTTCCTTCACAAATATGGGCTCGTTTCTCTCTGACATGAGGTTCTGAGGCAAAGGCGTGGGAAATATGCTAGATGTGGATAAAATCTTTTTACAGATAGATTCTCTTTGGTTCAAATTAAAATTTTGCTCACCGAGATCAGTGAGCATGGGAAATAGAATATGAATGGTAACTCGCTTTAACCCTTAAACGGCGTGCATCCTTAGGGGTCAAGAAGTGAAAAATATTCAAATTATGTACTGTAAAAATTACTTAAAAATGTTAAACAAATCTCCAACTTATTGGCTTCAGGGTCGTGAAACTTTCATCAAAATATTTTCAGAAATTGATTTTAGACAAATTTTTTAAAAAGAAGAACGTTTTGTTAATATGGAGAATAGATTCTATTAATTGGAACTGAGGGATAATAGGAGGGGTGATAAAGGGAGCCGGTCGGCTGAGCGGACAGCACGCTGGACTTGTGATCCTGTGGTCCCAGGGTTGATCCCGGGCACTGGCGAGAAACAATGGGCAGAGTTTCTTTCACCCTATGCCCCTGTTACATAGCAGTAAAATAGGTACCTGGGTGTTAGTCAGCTGTCACGGGCTGCTTCCTGGGGGTGGAGGCCTGGTCGAGGACCGGGCCGCGGGGACACTAAAGCTCCGAAATTATCTCAAGATAGCCTCAAGAATGCAGTAATAGAGAGATGCAAGCACCTGTCAGACGCACAAAGAAGAATAGTAGTACAGTAGTAAGAAGTGTCCAAAAAGTGGATATGCAGCTGGTGCCTTTATGGCATTGCTGAGTAATACATAACACAAATAATAATGAATAAGTATGTTATTATGCTTTATTTTGTTATATATCATATAAATACATTGTCCAATGTTAATATCTGTTACTTTCATCAATGTCCAAAAATTTTTTGTTTGGGGAATTGTTTTTTAAGTTTTTAGTTTTTTTTAACTTTGTTTATTTTCTGATTTTGTTATAACCTTTACATTCTGGAGAATGCATACCCCCTCCCTAACTGTGCGAAGATAGAATCAAATTGGTTAATAAAATAAGTAAGTCGGTCACAACTTACAGAACTTGGGACTTTGAATTTATTTGGGCTGATTTTTTTCAGAGATTTCAAACACTTTTCTTTGTCTCTTTAGGTTGTTTTGATGTTTAGGGACCTGATTAGGGCTTTTTCACTTTTATAAAATATACCCTAAATACCCTAAATATATCCCCTAAATCATCATAATTATTATAATTATCCCTATTTTTATTTTTTTAGGTTATTTTTTCTTGACTTAATTTCGGCACACATTGACCTACATCTTTCACATATTCGAGTACGAATGTCAAGCAGTGTTTATTAAAATATACAAGTAAATTAACAAACTGAAAACTCACACCCCAGAAGTGACTCGAACCCATACTCCCAGAAGCAACGCAACTGGTATGTACAAGACGCCTTAATCCACTTGACCATCACGACCGGACATAATGAGGTGATAGCCGAGGCTATTTGAACCACCCCACCGCCGGCACTCGGATAGTTATCTTGGGCATAGCATTTTACCAAATCACCTCATTCTTAGGGCACAACTATCCGATAACTATCCGAGTGCCGGCGGTGGGTGGTTCAAATAGCCTCGGCTATCACCTCATTATGTCCGGTCGTGATGGTCAAGTGGATTAAGGCGTCTTGTACATACCAGTTGCGTTGCTTCTGGGAGTATGGGTTCGAGTCACTTCTGGGGTGTGAGTTTTCAGTTGCATATTGTCCAGGGGACCATTCTGGCTTGTTCGCATTTGTGTTCCTCACGTGTGCCCCTAAGAATGAGGTGATTTGGTAAAATGCTATGCCCAAGATACTATCCGAGTGCCGGCGGTGGGGTGGTTCAAATAGCCTCGGCTATCACCTCATTATGTCCGGTCGTGATGGTCAAGTGGATTAAGGCGTCTTGTACATACCAGTTGCGTTGCTTCTGGGAGTATGGGTTCGAGTCACTTCTGGGGTGTGAGTTTTCAGTTGCATATTGTCCAGGGGACCATTCTGGCTTGTTCGCATTTGTGTTCCTCACGTGTGCCCCTAAGAATGAGGTGATTTGGTAAAATGCTATGCCCAAGATAACTATCCGAGTGCCGGCGGTGGGTGGTTCAAATAGCCTCGGCTATCACCTCATTATGTCCGGTCGTGATGGTCAAGTGGATTAAGGCGTCTTGTACATACCAGTTGCGTTGCTTCTGGGAGTATGGGTTCGAGTCACTTCTGGGGTGTGAGTTTTCAGTTGCATATTGTCCAGGGGACCATTCTGGCTTGTTCGCATTTGTGTTCCTCACGTGTGCCCCTAAGAATGAGGTGATTTGGTAAAATGCTATGCCCAAGATAACTATCCGAGTGCCGGCGGTGGGGTGGTTCAAATAGCCTCGGCTATCACCTCATTATGTCCGGTCGTGATGGTCAAGTGGATTAAGGCGTCTTGTACATACCAGTTGCGTTGCTTCTGGGAGTATGGGTTCGAGTCACTTCTGGGGTGTGAGTTTTCAGTTGCATATTGTCCAGGGGACCATTCTGGCTTGTTCGCATTTGTGTTCCTCACGTGTGCCCCTAAGAATGAGGTGATTTGGTAAAATGCTATGCCCAAGATAACTATCCGAGTGCCGGCGGTGGGGTGGTTCAAATACCCTCGGCTATCACCTCATTATGTCCGGTCGTGATGGTCAAGTGGATTAAGGCGTCTTGTACATACCAGTTGCGTTGCTTCTGGAGTATGGGTTCGAGTCACTTCTGGGGTGTGAGTTTTCAGTTGCATATTGTCCAGGGGACCATTCTGGCTTGTTCACATTTGTGTTCCTCACGTGTGCCCCTAAGAATGAGGTGATTTGGTAAAATGCTATGCCCAAGATAACTATCCGAGTGCCGGCGGTGGGGTGGTTCAAATACCCTCGGCTATCACCTCATTATGTCCGGTCGTGATGGTCAAGTGGATTAAGGCGTCTTGTACATACCAGTTGCGTTGCTTCTGGGAGTATGGGTTCGAGTCACTTCTGGGGTGTGAGTTTTCAGTTGCATATTGTCCAGGGGACCATTCTGGCTTGTTCGCATTTGTGTTCCTCACGTGTGCCCCTAAGAATGAGGTGATTTGGTAAAATGCTATGCCCAAGATAACTATCCGAGTGCCGGCGGTGGGGTGGTTCAAATAGCCTCGGCTATCACCTCATTATGTCCGGTCGTGATGGTCAAGTGGATTAAGGCGTCTTGTACATACCAGTTGCGTTGCTTCTGGGAGTATGGGTTCGAGTCACTTCTGGGGTGTGAGTTTTCAGTTGCATATTGTCTAGGGGACCATTCTGGCTTGTTCGCAAGTAAATTAACGAATTTGAACTACTGTACCTTTATTTAATAATGTCGATAATTTCAACTTCAATTATCTCTAAAACTAGAGTTTCAACTTTGAGTGGCTTCTAAAATTCCTGTTTCTGACCAATTCGTACCAGTTTGACATATTGTGTGCTCAGCTGTCTGTTCTACAATCTCTTGAGAATTGATTTTTCATAAACCCTAAATGTTTGGAGTTACACATTTTTTTTTTTTTTTTTTTTTTTGCCTAAATTACAGCACATTTCAAATGCTATATTGACAATTTTTTTTTACAGTAAAGTATACTGAAAACCTATATTCTAATTTGATGAAAATGAAGATCATACGCTATTCTGAGAGCATAACACCACCAAATGAACAATTGGTGATACAGTAGTGTATATTTTTTAATCTGATTTGAAAATCAGAAGTTTTCAATATCAATTTTTAAAATTATTTTTGATTATCTTGTTTTTCAAGTTATGTTGATGATCAAGTGACAACGTTAGAGCATTTGCCGAGTTGATTATGCACAAAAAATTGGAAATTGTTGTGCAAGTTTTAAAAACTGATGTTATGGCCAATTGTATGTGTGTGTGTTTTGCGCAGTTTAAGGGTTAATACGGCTTCGATCATCTTTTTAATTATTTTTGTAGATGGGTGCAATATTAGAAGAAAAAGTGCTGGCCTTCGGAAAGCCATTGAGCACATTTAAAACCAAATTTTATGATTTGTATTCATATTTAAATTTCCCAGTTTTCTTTCACAAATGTGGGCCTCCTGGAGCAATCTTTGGTTGCAACGAATCCCTCACTGCAATGAATTAGGGTTGGTCCCATATAGTTCGTTGACTTGAGGGTGCACTGTGCTTAAATACTGTGTTTAATTGAATATGGTCAAAATTATTTTGTTGTAAAGAATAATACTGTTTGACAGTTGAATTGCACGGTACTCTTCAGTGATGTATATGAGAAAGATGTTTTACCTTTTTTTTGAACACTTCTTTTCCAGCCTTTTTGAGTTAAGAACTTTTTGTATAGCTTTGCCTGACATTCAACGAAGTTTTACTCACAAAAGTAAACCTACTTGATCTGGTTGTGATTTTTAAGATGTTTATCAAAAATAATTTTGTTTGTGACCTTAATATACACTACTTATCTTGACATTTGTAATGTACTGTACATATTACAGATCTGGTAATGTTTATGCTGATACTGTATGTGTATTCAGTACAAATGTCATCAATAACATTATTTTTTTTATTCTACAGACATGGATGGGGATAGTGATGGGGGCGGCAGGTGTTGTGGAGGGAGAGGAGAGCTGATCGAGGCCGTTCTCACCTGCGAGGGTAACATTTGTGACCCTGAGCTCCCAAAGAAACTCACCTACCTGGTACATGTCCTCAAACATGTCACCCAAAGTGGTAAGTTATAAATAACTTCAGCAATACCTGAGATGGGATGCTGAAGACTTCAGTTGCATTTAGTATTTATTGTGATCTCAAACAAATGAACTACGGTATATGGGGCAAAGCTAATTTGCTCCATATTGGGTACTTTCATTACATAAGGACCCAGGCCACATCTTGCGGTTACCTTATCTCTCTCTCTCTCACATTCTATCCCCCTTCTACTCTCTCCCCCCTTCTACTCTCTCCCCCCTTCTACTCTCTCCCCCCTTCTACTCTCTCCCCCCCTTCTGCTCTCTCCCCCCTTCTGCTCTCTCCCTCCTTTCTGCTCTCTCCCTCCTTTCTGCTCTCTCCCTCCTTTCTACTCTCTCCCCCTTTCTACTCTCTCCCCCCTTCTCTACTCGCTCACCCCTTCTACTCTCTCCCCCTTCTCCTCCCCATCTACTCTCCCCCCATCTACTCTCCCCCTATCTACTCCCCCCCTTGCTCTCTCTCCCCCCTTGCTCTCTCTCCCCCCTTGCTCTCTCTCCCCCCCCCCCTGCTCTCTCTCCCCCCTTGCTCTCTCTCTCCCCCCTTGCTCTCTCTCCCCCCCTTGCTCTCTCTCTCCCCCCTTGCTCTCTCTCTCCCCCCCTTGCTCTCTCTCCCCCCCCCCCCTTGCTCTCTCCCCCCCCCTTGCTCTCTCCCCCCCCCCTGCTCTCTCCCCCCCCCCTTGCTCTCTCTCCCCCCCCCTTGCTCTCTCCCCCCCCTTGCTCTCCTCCCCCCCCCCCTTGCTCTCCCCCCCCCCCTTGCTCTCCCCCCCCCCCTTGCTCTCCCCCCCCCTTGCTCTCTCCCCCCCCCCTTGCTCTCTCCCCCCCCCTTGCTCTCCCCCCCCCCCTTGCTCTCTCCCCCCCTTGCTCTCTCCCCCCCCTTGCTCTCTCTCTCCCCCCCTTGCTCTCTCTCTCCCCCCTTGCTCTCTCTCTCCCCCCCCTTGCTCTCTCTCTCCCCCCTTGCTCTCTCTCTCCCCCCTTGCTCTCTCTCTCTCCCCCCCCCTTGCTCTCTCTCTCTCTCCCCCCTTGCTCTCTCTCTCTCTCCCCCCTCGCTCTCTCTCTCTCTCTCTCCCCCCTCGCTCTCTCTCTCTCTCTCTCCCCCCTTGCTCTCTCTCTCCCCCCTTGCTCTCTCTCTCTCCCCCTCTGCTCTCTCTCTCTCTCCCCCCCTTGCTCTCTCTCTCTCCCCTTGCTCTCTCTCTCCCCCCCTTGCTCTCTCTCTCTCCCCCCCCCCCCTTGCTCTCTCTCTCCCCCCCCTTGCTCTCTCTCTCCCCCCCCCCTTGCTCTCTCTCTCCCCCCCCCTTGCTCTCTCTCCCCCCCCTTGCTCTCTCTCTCCCCCCCCCCTTGCTCTCTCTCTCCCCCCCCCTTGCTCTCTCTCTCCCCCCTTGCTCTCTCTCTCCCCCCCCCCTTGCTCTCTCTCTCTCCCCCCTTGCTCTCTCTCCCCCCCTTGCTCTCTCTCCCCCCCCCTTGCTCTCTCTCTCTCCTCCCCCCCTTGCTCTCTCTCCCCCCTTGCTCTCTCTCTCTCCCCCCCTTGCTCTCTCTCTCTCTCCCCCCCTTGCTCTCTCTCCCCCCTTGCTCTCTCTCTCTCCCCCCTTGCTCTCTCTCCTCTCTCCCCCTTGCTCTCTCTCTCTCCCCCCTTGCTCTCTCTCTCTCCCCCCTTGCTCTCTCTCTCTCTCCCCCCTTGCTCTCCTCTCTCTCTCTCCCCCCCTTGCTCTCTCTCTCCCCCCCTTGCTCTCTCTCCCCCCCTTGCTCTCTCTCTCCCCCCTTTGCTCTCTCTCTCCCCCCCCTTGCTCTCTCTCTCCCCCCTTGCTCTCTCTCTCCCCCCTTGCTCTCTCTCTCCCCCCCTTGCTCTCTCTCTCCCCCCCTTGCTCTCTCTCTCTCCCCCTTGCTCTCTCTCTCCCCCCTTGCTCTCTCTCTCCCCCCTTGCTCTCTCTCTCCCCCCTTGCTCTCTCTCTCCCCCCCCTGCTCTCTCTCCTCCCCCTGCTCTCTCTCCCCCCCCTCTGCCCTCTCTCTCTCCCCCCCCCCTGCTCTCTCTCCCCCCCCCCTGCTCTCTCTCCCCCCCCCCCTGCTCTCTCTCCCCCCCCCCTGCTCTCTCTCTCCCCCCCCCTGCTCTCTCTCCCCCCCCCCCTGCTCTCTCTCCCCCCCCTGCTCTCTCTCCCCCCCCCCCCCCCCTGCTCTCTCTCCCCCCCCTGCTCTCTCTCCCCCCCTCTGCTCTCTCTCCCCCCCCTGCTCTCTCTCCCCCCCCCTGCTCTCTCTCCCCCCCCCTGCTCTCTCTCTCCCCCCCCCTCTCTCCCCCCCCTGCTCTCTCTCCCCCCCCCCCCCCTGCTCTCTCCCCCCCCCTGCTCTCTCTCCCCCCCCTGCTCTCTCTCCCCCCCCCTGCTCTCTCCTCCCCCCCCTGCTCTCTCCTCCCCCCCCCCCTGCTCTCTCCTCCCCCCCCCCTGCTCTCTCCTCCCCCCCCCCTCTCTCTCCTCCCCCCCTGCTCTCTCTCCCCCCCCCCTGCTCTCTCTCCTCCCCCCCCCTGCTCTCTCCTCCCCCCCCCCCCCTGCTCTCTCCTCCCCCCCCCTGCTCTCTCCCCCCCCTGCTCTCTCTCCCCCCCCCCCCTGCTCTCTCTCCCCCCCCCTGCTCTCTCTCCCCCCCCCTGCTCTCTCTCCCCCCCCCTGCTCTCTCTCTCCCCCCCCTGCTCTCTCTCCCCCCCCCCTGCTCTCTCCCCCCCCCCCCCCTGCTCTCTCTCCCCCCCCCCCCCCCCCCCTCTGCTCTCTCTCCCCCCCTCCCCTGCTCTCTCTCTCTCCCCCCTCCTCTCTCTCTCTCTCCCCCCCCCTCTCTCTCCCTCTCTTCCCCCCTCCCCTGCTCTCTCTCCCCCCTCCCCTGCTTTCTCTCTCCCCCCCCCCCTCCCCCTCCCCTCTCTCTCTCCCCTCTCCTCCTCTCTCCTCTCCCCCCTCCTCTCTCTCTCCCCCACCCCTCTCTCTCTCTCTCTCTCCCCTTCTCCCCCTCTCTCTCTCTCCCCTCTCTCTCTCTCTCTCCCCCCTGCTCTCTCTCCTCCCCCCCTCTCTCTCTCTCCCCTCTCTCCCTTCCCCTCTCTCTCTCTCCCCCCCCTGCTCTCTCTCTGCCCCCCCTCCCCCTCTCTCTCTCTCTCCCCCCCCCCTGCTCTCTCTCCCCCCTCCCCTGCTCTCTCTCTCTCCCCTGCTCTCTCTCCCTCCCCTCTCTCTCTCTCCCCCCTCCCTGCTCTCTCTCCCCCTCCCCTGCTCTCTCTCCCCCTCCCCTGCTCTCTCTCCCCCTCCCCTGCTCTCTCTCCCCCTCCCCTGCTCTCTCTCTCCCCTCCCCTGCTCCCCCTGCTCTCTCTCTCCCCCCCCTGCTCTCTCTCCCCCTCCCCTGCCCTGCTCTCTCTCCCCCTCCCCTGCTCTCTCTCCCTCCCCTGCTCCCTCCCCTCCCCTGCTCTCTCTCTCCCCCCCCCCTCCCCTGCTCTCTCTCTCCCTCCCCTGCTCTCTCTCTCTCTCTCTCCCTCTCCCTGCTCTCTCTCTCTCCCCTCCCCTGCTCTCTCTCCCTCCCCTGCTCCTCCCCCCTCCCTGCTCTCTCTCCCCCTCCCCTGCTCCCCTCTCTCCCCCCCTCCCCCTGCCTCTCTCTCCCCCTCCCCTGCTCTCTCTCCCCCTCCCCTGCTGCTCTCTCCCCCTCCCCTGCTCTCTCTCCCCCCCCCTCTCCTCCCCCTCCCCCCCCCCTGCTCTCTCTCCCCCCCCCCTGCTCTCTCTCCCCCTCCCCTGCTCTCTCTCTCCCCTCCCCCCCTGCTCTCTCTCCCCCTCCCCTCTCTCTCTCTCTCTCTCTCTCTCTCTCTCTCTTCCCCCTCCCATTCTCTCCCCCTCCCATTCTCTCCCCCCCCCCATTCTCTCCCCCCTCCCATTCTCTTCCCCTCTCCCATTCTCTCTTCCCCCCTCCTATTCTCTCTTCCCCTCTCCCATTCTCTTACCCCCCTTTCTCTTCCCCCCCTTTGTTCTCTCTTCCTCCTTTCTCTCTTCCCCCCTTTCTCTCTTTCCCCCCTCTCTCTCTCCCCCCCCTCTCTCTCTTCCCCCCTCTCTCTCTTCCCCCCTCTCTCTCTTCCCCCCCTCTCTCTCTCTTCCCCCCCCTCTCTCTTCCCCCCTCTCTCTCTTCCCCCCTCTCTCTCTCTCTCTCCCCCCCCCCTCTCTCTCTCTTCCCCCCTCTCTCTCTCTTCCCCCCCCTCTCTCTCTCCCCCCCTCTCTCTCTCTTCCCCCCCTCTCTCTCTCTTCCCCCCTCTCTCTCTCTCTTCCCCCCCTCTCTCTCTCTTCCCCCCTCTCTCTCTCTTCCCCCCCTCTCTCTCTCTTCCCCCCCTCTCTCTCTCTTCCCCCCCCTCTCTCTCTCCCCCCCCCTCTCTCTCTCTTCCCCCCTCTCTCTCTCTTCCCCCCTCTCTCTCTCTTCCCCCCTCTCTCTCTCTTCCCCCCCTCTCTCTCTTCCCCCCTCTCTCTCTCTTCCCCCCTCTCTCTCTCTCTTCCCCCCCTCTCTCTCTCTCCCCCCCTCTCTCTCTCTTCCCCCCTCTCTCTCTCTTCCCCCCTCTCTCTCTCTTCCCCCCTCTCTCTCTCTTCCCTCTTTCTCTCTTTCCCCCTCCCTTTCTCTCTTTCCCCCTCCCTTTCTCTCTTTCCCCCTCCCTTTCTCTCTTTCCCTCTCCCTTTCTCTCCCCTCTCTCTCTTCCCCCTTTCCTAGTGTAGTTTCCTCTTGAAGATGTCCACTGTTGTTCCGGCAATATTTCTTATGCTCGCTGGGAGTATGTTGAACAACCGTGTACCTCTGATGTTTATACAGTGTTCTCTAATTGTGCACCCTGCTCTTCACTGGTTCTATTGTGCATTTTCTTCCATATAGTTCACTCCAGTATGTTGTTATTTTACAGTGCAGATTTGGGACCTGTCCCTCCAGTATTTTCCACGTGTATATTATTTGGTATCTCTTCCGTCGTTTTTCTAGCGAGTACATTTGGAGAGCTTTAAG